AACTATAACCCACACTAAATTCCTTTCTATTTCCATTTCACTATGCTTCGCTTATGTATGATCAAAATTTATTTTGCACATTTAACAGAATTGCTATGCTTGATTTGCAGAAAGAGCATTGTGGACCAATAGCGAGTGAAGTTCAAATTAGGCTACAAATTCTCTTTAGGTAATAAGCATGTTTCTTCTATTTTATGTATATCGCAAAACAATAAATTAGAAAAAAATAATTGTAGCCCTTATATGTATTTGTACTGTGGAGTACAAGATTTTTGTACAAATTGTACAACAATTTTTAATTTGTAACTATTATAGATGACATATTCTTTAAATCTGACAGACTTTTAAGTGTATTGTACTTTAAAAAATACTAATCTAACATTATTGTTATAGTATTTCCTATTACTATAAGCTTCGATAGTAATGTTTATATTTTAAAATACATACATATATATATATATATATATATATATATATATATATATATATATATATATATATATATATATATATATATATATATATATATATGAACTCATTATGTATAATGTTGAAATCCCATTTATATTATTAATGTTTATTTTTTTAAGAATAAAAAATTTACAATACAATAAACAGCCGTGCATTATTGCACGGGTTTAAGACTAGTTTAGTTTTTATAAGCTAAGGTAGTTTCTTACAACAATTTTGATATAAGGGTCACAAAAAAAACTCTTACAAATATTACTCCTTCCGTTTCATAATAATCACAATAGTAAGGAGGACAAAAAGTTATAGGAATTTTGGGTGGGGCCAAATGGGGAATTGTTTTATAATATACAAAAAAAAAATAATAGTTAGTACAGTGAAGGTATATTTATTAGTAAGAGAAAAAAAAATAGTGTAAGTGAGGTTGGTATGTAAAAGAAAGATATAAATTAGTAGTGGGTCCTTACCAAATAAGTAAGTGTTGCAATTATTACGAAATGAATAAAAAGGAAAGCGTTGTGATTAATATGAAACTAAGGGAGTATTAGTAAAAGTTATGCACTAGCAAATGTATCGGTCAAATTGGGGCACTTAAATTTAATTTGATGAAGTAATTGTTAGACCCTGCACTCTTGCTTGCAAGGGGCAAATGGCAAACGAGTAGCTCGGGTCAGCTACGAGTTAAGTCAATTTCTAGTCAATAAAATAATCGGGTCGAGATTAGGTTAGGTTAGGCCAGTTCGAGTATCGGGTCAACAAATAATCGGGGCAGGTCAAGTAGATGGTCTACACTTCGGGTTAAGTTTGGATCGGGTCAAGTTTGGGTTGAATTATTTCGGCTAAGGTCATTTTGGGTTGGGTTAATTTTTGGGTCAAGTTCAAGTTTGGTCAAATTCAAGTCGGGTCATATTCGAGTCGGGTCATATTTCGATAAATTGATTATTATTATCATTCTTAGCATAGTGTGTTTTCTTACATTAAATAATCAAGGAAATAAACAAACTTGCGTATCTAAATAATATTACATGTGTAAATATAAATTAATCTTTTGGAGTTGTTGATCATTATTGACACATTGCATGTTTCATTGCTAATTTCCCTGTATTTTACCCATTATCTGCTGCGAAATAAAGATTTGAAATATTTTGGAATCTAAAATGATTTTTAACAATGTTTTATTGAATGACAAAGGAAATTGGTTTGCTAGAATCAGTTAAGTCATTTTGGGTATCAATTCAATTATTTTTTATTCAGGTCATTTCGGGTATAGGGTAATTATAGTTCAGGTCAATTTAATTAGATATTGGGTCTATTTGGGTCAATCAATTCGGGTTAACATTAGGTCGAGTCACTCCGATATCCTTATATTGGATCTTACCCCCAACCATCACCTTCGGCTGCCTAGATCCACCCCCACCGCAAAAAAACTTTTAAATTTTAAAATACGAATATATACATTAAAAATACAAATATACAATAAAAATGTATAAAATGCATACAAAAATATATTCATGTGATGACTAGCTCAACCTTTTTTTTTTCTTTTTTTTTTTTGTGTAAAATTGGGTTTAAAGTTTATATTGATTAAAAATAATAGAAAGTTTGTCTTGGTTGGCAAGTGATGAACAATTTAAAGACTGATTGGCGGTTGGTAAAAATAACCGATCTAATTTTTTTTTTTTTTTTTTTTCTAAAGAACCGATCTAAATTATTAGTAAACTACCAATTGATTAACAATTTAATCATCTTAGTCAACATTTCAATAGTCACTCAAAAAACTTCAGTCCTCTTTAACGGTTCAACCACATAATTAAAGAAGATAATGTAGAAATAGAGGGAAGGAAAAGAAGAGTTAACAACGATTTTTTTTTTTTTTTTTTTTTTTGAAACAGTTAACAATCAATTTAGCCTAATCAAGATATGTGTATGTATTACTACGTACATTACAATTTATACAAAGATTATTCTAACAAAAGAAATATAGTCCAATTATGTTGTGTCCTCGCACAACATTCGTGTCTAAACTCAAGTTAAGTTTGGTCTAATGAGAAATATTACACCTTTTAACCTTGAGATTGGGATTCAATCTTCACTAATGACACTTTTTAAGGGTGGGGATTCTCTTTCCTTCTCCCTCACTTTCAAAGTGTCTGATCCATAAATACTAGAACAAAAAAACTGATTGAGATCTAGTCCGATCTTTCATCTTACCTTTTAAAAAATTAAAAATAAAAAAAAATATATAAAAACTGCATTCATGTCTAAAATTAATAACCTGACCTATAGATACTTGCATATTTACTCGTACTCGATTACTCGTGCTCATGTCTAAGTGTCATGTGTTCTACATCTTCCTATATTCTTCTAGTTTCTTTGACATCTCTTAATTTCTTACATAAGTGTGGTTCGAATTCAGTCTTTGTAACGTTTGAAGCAAGTTCAACTTAAGGATTATGAAAATAAGGCAATTGTTTTAAATTGTTCGCAATTTTCAAATGTCTTGTAATTGTGTGTAAATTGACTGAATAATTTTGTTTAGGTTGTTTGAATTGTTGGAACCGATCCTCGAATAGGTAAGCAATAGTATCCTTCTTCCACTTCTTCAATTGAGATTGCTGTTGTTGATACTAGTTGTAAAAGTGAACTGCTATTCGTCGTTCGCAAATTACAGGGTGACGCTCCCATTTTTATGTGTATTGACTATTTTGCCCATGAGTGTTTTATTTCCATATAAGGCTCCACCATGACTCACTTTAGCTTGTAAAAAGTTAAATATTATTCCCGACCCCCCACTTGTCTTTAAAAAATCCCGACCCACAAAAAAACCCGAGACCACCATTGTACGGTAATTCCGACCAATTTTTAAAATCCCGAGTGTGGAAGTTGGGGCCCACTATTGACGATGAGTGACGACAATTTTAGTACGCCGGAGCAGTCGTCGGAAGAATCTGTAAGTCGTAGTTTTTAAATTTTTTTTTTTCAGGACTTCCGCCCATTTTTTCCGGATCCCAGGGGAAGATCCGCCTAAAAAATCCGGAAGTTCCTCCTAGGATCCGGAAATTCTAGGCGGATCCCAATATACGCCTGGAATTTCCGGATCCTAGGAGGATCTTCCGGATTTTTTAGTCGGATCTTCCTCTGGGATCCGAAAAAATGGGCGGAAGTACCTAAATTCGGTTTTTTTTTTTTATTCTTTCAAAATTCATAATATTATTTTTGCTGATTTTTTTTGTGAGTATTATTATATTGTGTTAGTTATTATTATTATTAATTATGTTTATATTTCTAATGTTATTATTATTATTATTATTATTATTATTATTATTATTATTATTATTATTATTGTTATTATTATTATTGTTATTGTTATTGTTATTGTTGTTGTTAGTATGATTATTATTATTATTATCGATTTTTATATTTATATTTTTATTATTATTATTATTGTTATTATTCTTATTATTAATAATATTGTTACTGTTGTTGTTAGCATGATTATTGTTATTGTAATTATTATCACTATTGTTGTTACTGTTATTTATATTATTATTTTTATTATTATTATTATTTTTGTTATTATAGTTTTTATTATTATTATTATTTTTGTTATTATAGTTTTTATTATTATTATTATTATTTTTGTTATTATAGTTTTTATTATTATTATTATTATTATTATTATTATTATTATTATTATTATTATTATAGTTTTTGTTATTAATAAACATACTATTATTATTATTAAATTTATAATACTAATATTTGCCTCATTTGTTTGGTTTATTGTTAAAGATTCGGAGGTTGAGGACGGCAGTGACGGTGTGAATTATAGTGCAAATTTCGTGACAGACAAGGTTTTTCGAACGTTTGATGAAGCAGTTAGTTGGGCGGATGCTGTTGCAATAAATCTGGGATTTATTTTGGTGAAATCGTCTTTCAACAGACAGAGGGATGGTCGGCCATATCGATATTTAAGATGTGATCGGGGACATAGGAGTAAGCCGAGAGATCTTGAGAACGCAATAAGGAAGGACACGAAAACCAAAGCCAATGGTTGTCCTTTCTACATCAAGATATCTTACAATTTTGTCAACGACTGTTGGTTTATCACAGTGAAAAATGATGTAACTGGGACCCACAACCATCCAATGATTGCGTATCCAGAAGGCCATCGTAAAATAAGCGGGTTAAGCCCGGAAGCGAAGCAGGTTATGCGTAACATGACCAAGTCTAAGGTAGCACCGCGTAAAATCATGGCGACTATTGCCGAGCAATTTCCTCAGGATCATCCAAACATCAGACACATCTACAACTGCCGAAATGACTTCAGAACCGAGATGTCAGATGGGAGAGGAGTTGTTCAGCAGTTTCTACATCTGGCTAGACAGAGTCAGTATGTCTACTAGGTATTGTCTGATGATCAAGGCGTTTTACAGCACGCCTTCATGGCGCATCCAGTCATGGTAGACATCTTGCGGACGTACCCGTATGTGATCAGTATGGATTCCACATACAAGACCAACCGATACGGAATGCCGTTCTTTGAGATAGTTAGTGTGACACCGACAAATCAAAATTTCCTCGTCGGTTATGTCTTCATGCGCAACGAGTGCACGGCCAGCTATCGATGGGTTTTGCAGAGATTAAGAGACTTGATCGGGATTGATAAGGAACCGTCGGTTTTCTTGAGTGATCGTGAGTTGGGGCTAGTTGCGGCATTGAGGGAAGTGTTTCTAGGGACCTCGCACTTACTTTGTCGATGGCATATTAACAAAGATGTTGAGGCTCGTGTCACTGATATGTTCAAAAGCAAAAAGGTCGGTGCGGCATTCAAAAACGGGAGATGGAAACGTGTGATGGACGCTGCAACCGAGGAGGATTATGAGGCTGCTGTAGAGATGATGAAACTGAAATGGGCAAGTTATCTAAAGGTGATAGAGTATGTTGAGAGGACTTGGCTTTGTCATAAAACGTAGTTTGTGACATTTTGGACAAACCAAGTTCTTCATTTTGGCAACACAAGCACATGTAGAGTTGAGAGCCAACATTCGGCCGTCAAGATGTAGTTTGATTCTTCGATAGGTTCATTTTTCGGTTGTTGTATTTGATGTATGTATTTTGTTGTATTCATGTTTGTTGTGAATAATAACGTTTTTTTGTTGTATTTTGTTGTATTTATGTTTGTTGTGAATAATAACGTTTTTTTGGTAATGTGCAGGTTCTTTGGATACCGTATGGGCCCGAGTTCATTGTCACATTGGTAATCAGATCATCGCTATTCGTAATGATTTGGAGGCATCTAGGTCGAAGATTGGTCAGAAGTACAGACAATTGCCATTGTCACGTATCAACGGCAAGGTGTCTCAGCATTGTTTGAAGATTCTCGACAAGGAGACGAAAAGGAAGAGGGATCTGAGTTATCAGGTGTATGAGCGTTGCGGATGTGCATTGCGGGTGACCCATGGTTTGCCATGTGCTTGTCAGATACATGAGTCTTTAGCTCGAGCTTGTATAGTAGGCAAATTCACCAGTTCTGGAAGACTTTGGTTATCGGCAATGGTAATGATGGAACAACGTTCGGTAATGACGCGACCGAGGACGCCACACATTTTCGAAATCTGATGGACGAGGTACTTGATAGTGATAATGCTATTCTACGAAATGTGACACGCATCATTGAGGAAGAGCTACATCCGGATCATGATAACCTCCAAGAACCTCATATCAACCATAGGGTGCGTGGTCGACAGAGGAACAACGATACAAGACGTGATCAGTCTTATTTCGAACATGTGAATCGCCGAAACAGTCAATCTGGTCAACGACAAGGAGGTATGATTTTGGTATTGTGGGTTTAATCGTTTTTCATGAGTTCTTGTACTAATAAATGAACCCTATATATTTGCAGAAGATGAATCAGACATCACCCAAAGCCGGTATCAACACTTGATTCCCGGACCTATGTTGCCTTTCATCATAGGGTGGAAACATGTCATTGGCGATGGTAACTGCGACTTTCGTTGTGTCGCCGAGTTCTTCTTTGGTGATCAAGGCCAATGGTATGACGCTCGAGAAATAATCGCTAACGAGGTCCTTGGTTATCCATCCCTGTACGGGAGGATTTACGGGCTTGGAAGGCTTCAGATAAATGTGGAGCGTATTCGATGGGACGGTGGGGCGGTTGATGCTCGTCATTGGATGGTTGCAATTCAAGATTTATTTCCTATTGCTACTTGGTTCAACTCAATGGTTATTATTCTCGGTGTAGGCACCGTACCATCGTGCTTGTACCCATGTCTCACTATCTTGCCGTTGCGGGCACGAAGAGGAGTCACGGCACCACAACGGGAGTTTGTCATCGCTACAGTTTCTGCCTCACATTTTATATTGCTTGAACTTGCACCAGATTCACCACTTCCCCCTATTGCAGGTTGGTGGACCGAGAACCACGAACCAAGTGTTGAAGGTTGGGATCACCGTTATGTAGCTAGAAGGAACATGTGGGATGCGTTAACTAGACAATGAACTTATTAATGTAACACGCATTTATGATGAATAGTTGTAGAAATGTAATTCGTAAAGAAATTAACTTAATTAAACAAAGTTTCAACAACAAAACAAAAACAGTTGTTCAGTCCTTAAAGTACATGACGAATAAATACAAAAAAACATCAAGTTTACAACCCCATCATCGCCCTCCAGTTAGCTCATAGCGCCTCAGCCATTACTCTTGTATCCTGCGACAAGCTCGGATACTCCTCCAGTGTCCTGTTGATGACCTCCATGGACCGACCCATCCACTGTAATTAAAAAACAACATATTAAATAAATCACACGTTTTTCTAATCATAATTACACATCATAAAAACACAAGTTCTTACGTAATCCGTGTTAGTTCTCTCTAGCAGTGTGCGACTCTCATGCGATGAAGCAACTGGAGAAACACGAGGATGAGAAAATCGGTATAGCCACTGCATGTACCCAGGACCGACCGTAGGACCACCACCACCAAGTCTGCTCAGGGCACCTAACACCACACTGAAAGACATACCGGGAACAAACCGAGTCCACATCATAGATGTCATCTCTGACGGAAATTCAACTCGATACATCTACAAGTTCGTCGGCCTCCTTGCCTTCTCAGGCCTAATGATGGCTGGGGGAATGCCCTGGACGTATCCAAGCTGTCGAACCACTCGATCAGGCATATATGGCTCAATGATGCTACGATACTGGATGCAGCCAATGAAAAGAGTAGCAGGCACGCGTCGTGCTGGATCAACTCCGTACGATAGCCAGTTCACCTCATTGTCAGTCAGATGATCCAACCTAGCACGAAAAGCGAGGAGGCGCTCCATGCTCTTGTTGGGGCACCCCGATCCGACATCCCAGGCGGACGCACGCGGAACAGTAAGCTCTCTAGTCAAGGTCCCCTGCTGAGGCCTAAAACACGGGAAGTACTCGTAGATCCATGCCTGCAGAAGCGTAAGACAGCCGGCGATAGAATCAGCATCTTTTTGTGACGTTGTACCCAACTGCCGGTACATGTATGCTAGCACAGCAGAACCCCAGGAGTAGTCACTAATCTGACCATCCTCAATAAACAGCTCGTTGAGGAAGGAAGGATGAGTACGGTTTCCACTCTTGTCCAGAAACAAACATCCGCCAAGAACTAACCACAGGTACGCCCTGTAATGGATACTGAAGGGCCTCTGCGCCTCCAAGGTCGACTCCACGATCCTCTCAGTAAGCATCCCACTTCCCTGACATACGGTTTTAGTACTACACTTCTCATTCAGCTCTTCCGCAGTCATATCCAAGGTAATCGAGCACGCGTCCCGTAAAACGTCCGTGCTAGGAGTAGTGGAAACCATGGAACCGTCGACACGGGAGCCCTAGAATATGATACACGTCATGCATCATGATCGTGATCTCCCCAAATGGCATGTGAAATGAGTTCGTGTCTAGCTGCCATCTCTCAACAAAAGCAAAAATCAGGGGCTAGTCAAATCGCCGGAACATGATCCCGGGTAAGTGAGATAGACCACTGCCATCAATCAGTTCCAGGTGCTCCTGCGGAAGACGAGCGCGCCAGTTACCTAACTCAGTACACAACTGTGTCCTGCTCAAACACCGCAGAACATTTCTCTCCTGGCCACCCCATAGATATGTAGCCACGTGACCCCCAAAACTAGGAATGACAGTACCATCCTCAGGCCCACCTGGCATCGGACCCCGAACCACCCATGACTCAGACGAGCTGGTAGAACCTTCACCTGGTTCACTACTACTACCATATCTCCCATGGTCACCCCTATACACAGTACGGTAATCCTGAGGGTCGTACTCTGAATCTCGACTAGCATAACTAGCTCGCTCATCGTCGTCCTCTTCGTCAGATACAGGAACTCTACCCGACGAGTACATGGGGGCGCTCATGTCTGACTGATGCTCCCCCGACCAAGTACGAGCAGACCCGTACTGCTGCTCACGGTGAAACGGTGCCTCCGAAGGTCCTGCATCACCTAACTTCCTCCTAACTGATGCATTCAAACGTCTCGATCTTGCATGTCGAGCGCCCGAACCCTCAATCTGCATTAAATAAGTAGAAAATATAATTTCATTAATACTTACACACACAACTATGATATCAACCTTGAATCGTTAATATTCCAATTCGAAAATAATAACAACAATACATAACAATTACAATAAATGAAAAAACAAATTAAATAAACATAACAACATTACATAACAAGAACAATAAATGAAAATAAAAAAAAAAATAAACATAACAACAATAAAAAAAAAATAAACATCACAACAATACATAACAATAACAATAAATGAAAAAAAAAATTAAATAAACATAACAACAATACATAACAATAATTATAAATGAAAAATAAAGTAAATAAACATAATAATAACAACAATACATAAAAACATAACAACAATACGTAACAATAACAATAAATGGAAAAAATAATAAATAAACATATCAACAATACATAACAATAATAAAAATAAAAAAACAAAAACAAAACAACATATAAATAGCTTCACCAAACAAAAGAAAAAAAAACAAAAAAAAAAATTAAAAAAAAAACAGCATCACCAAACAAAAGAAAAAAAATAATAACAAAAAAAAAATTCCAAAATAAAAAAAAACAAACCCTGCTTCACCAAACAAAATAAAAACAAAAAACAAACAAAAAAAAATAAAAACAAAACAAAAAAAAACAGCTTCACCAAAAAAAGAAAAAAAAAATTAACAAAAATAAGATTAAAAAAAAAACAAAACAAAACAAAAAAAAACAAAAGCAGCTTCAGCAAACAAAATAAAAGGAAAAAAAAACAAAAAAAAAAAAAAAACGGAAAACCTAGACCCTGAAATTTCCGGAAGTCTGGGGAAACTTCTGGAAATTTCAGCCGGAAGTCCCACATCCCCCAGAAATTTCCGGAAGTTTCCCCAGACTTCCGGAAATTTCTGGCGGAAGTCTAGGTTTTCCGTAATTTTTTTTTAAATTTTAAATTACAGCAACAAAGAACGGATTACCAACCTGCTCGCCGCCGGAAATGCCGCCCCCACGACCACCGTACGTAAGCTTAATGCGTCTCCCGTCCGCCATACCCGGATTCTTACTTTGATTGGTTTTCGTATGTTCTTCGTTTGATTTTCAAATTTTTGGTTTTTTTTTTAAAATAAATTTCTGATTTTTTTTTTCTGATTTTTTTTTTTAAATTCTTGCCTTTTTTTAGAGAGAGAAAGTTTTAGAGAGAGAGTGTCGGGGTTGAAAAATGACTTGTGAGTTTCGTAACTCGGTTTTCCAAGTATTTATATATGAGGGGCAAATTAGGAAATTCAATAAAAAAATGCGAGCGTCACCTTGTAATTTGTGAACGACGTTTAACAACAATTATAAAATATTTGAAAAAAAATAATTTGGATTAATTGTTAAAATAAATTATTGGTATTGCATTAGATATATAAATGTGATTGTTCAACTATTAAAATTACATTATAATTATGATGCCAATGTACAATTTAATGAGAGATTTGTTATTTTTCCCCAGGAGTACCGTACACCCATTGGTATTTTGTACTCATTTTGATGATTATTTTTCATTCAATCATCAAATAAATAGCAAAACTTAACCTTGGGTTAGTTATGTGTACGCTGTACTCGAGTGTATATAACAAATTCTACAATTTAATTACGAGTAATTAATTGTGCAGTGATTACATATTTTCAATAATTTGCGTTATTTATTAATTAGGGAATGTGAGTATCTTACCAAGCACTCCTTCTGTCCGAATAGTTTTTGCTCCATTAGACTTTCACTAAAACACGTGTAAAAGGTTTATATATTTTTTTTCTATAGGCGTAAAAAATTATAAAAAAGTGATATCTATAAAATATACAATGAGACAAATCAAATAAAATCTCACATCACTATATTATCTTTTTAGCCTTGTCAATTTTCGACTCGATTCGCAAACCGTACTCAACTCGCCCCGAACCCAACCAGTTTTTGTAGGTCTTGAACAATTTTTTTTTTACCTGTAACCCAATTTAACCGGAACTCGTTTAATCCGTAAATTATTGGGTCTAACCTGATCCGAACCTGACTCAACTCGTCGCCCCAATTTAATGGTTTTTTTTTTAAAGTACATTTATTTGAAAAGTAATATCTAGTTTATTGGTTAAGTTTGATTGTTTGTGTACCATCCAACATTCCTTTCTTTTTCCCATTTATCTATATCATATAACTCTTGCTCAAATCCATGTATACCAACCATTTCCTACACCAATTATCGACCCATAGCAATTGCAACCGTTTAGCATACATCTTCTTCATGCCACCGATTGACAAGTCTACTGATATTATGTCAAGAGATATTGTACTCCACATATATAATAATGTTGGCCTCTTCATTAAATTTTGTGATGTTGAAAAGTTTAATTATTTATTATTTTTATTATTATTTATTAGTTAGGAATTAATGTGCTTTGTTGAAGTGGTATTGATGATTTAAATTATGTAGTAGGCATTCAATGGCTAAAAATAATAATGGTAAGAATGATCGATTAAAAATTAAAACAAAAAAAAAAAATGTTAGCATGAAAATCAGAATTTTCTAAAATTTAATAAAAAAATTATTTTAAACCTGTTAGGTTTTTCCGAACCCAAAAATGTGGGTTAGGGTTGAGCATTTCTCGAGTCGTGACCCAACCTGATTAGGGGATTTTTCCCAACTTCCGAGGGAAGCCCAATCAGCCCAAGGTTAACCTAAACCTAGATTGACACATTTTCCGAGGTTATAAATACCTCCCTTAATCCTCATTAAGGGAGAGAACACGCAAAAAACGCAGATTACACACATTAAACACTCTCACCTAGAGAGACCCAATAACTTTAATTTCCGCATTAATTACTCCTTAATCAAGTACTAACTTGACCGTCGGAGGCGGATCTCCAATCATCCGGAGCGTCCGTTTGTTTTGCAGGTACAGGCGTCC